AATTCCTATTTGTAGTAGATTCACCTATTTTTTACCATTTTACCATAATTGCTCTCTCCACATTATAAATAAATATATTTGTGATGAACTATTTGAGAGGAAATTGGAAATTCATTGCAGCGATGAAGGTCGACCTTTAAGCACTTGGTAATGCACGACCCAAAGATGAGGACATTGTTTTACTAAAACCACAATACGATTATTTGAACCAAGAAAATTAAAAATAATAATGTCGTCTAATATCTACTTTGTGCAATAAACTAAAATTCTAATTGTTCTAAAATAAAAAAATAAAAAATAAAATGTTGAGAAAAAATCCCCACTGACCTAGAATTCTGTATCCAGTAAAATTATTCTTCAAAAGTAAAGAAGAAATAAAGACATACCCATACAAACAAAAATTGAGGGAAATGTTTAAAAAAAAAAAAAAGAGTTCTTTAAAGAAATAAAATGATTTAGGTCAAAAACTCAGATCTACATAAAGGTATAAATATAACAAAGAAGTACAAGACTATAGCTGTTATGAAAGAAACCAAAGAAGTATGAAATAAATGGAGATATATTCCACGTTCATGGATAGGAAAACTCAGTATTTTCAAGATGTCAGTTCTTCCCAACTTGATCTAAAGATGCAATACAATCCCAATCAATATTCCAACAAATTATTTTGTGGATAGGAACAAACCAATTCTAAAGTTTACATGGACAGGCAAAAGACCCAGAATAGCTAAAGCAATATAGAAGGAAAAGAACAAAGTTAGAAGACTGGCACTACTTAACTTCCAGATTTATTATAAAATTATAGGCAGTGTTGTATTGGCAAAAAAAAAAAAAAGGCAAATGGATCAATGGAAAAAATAGAGAGCCCAGAAACAGACCCACATAAATATAGTCAGTGATCTTTGGAAATGGGGCAAAGTCAATACATTGAAGAAAAGATCATGTTAGGACAAATCGTGCTAGGACAACCGGACATCCATGTACGAAAACATGAATCTACATACAGACCTACAACCTTCACAAAAATTAGCTCAAAATATAACAGGGAGCTAAGTGTAAAATACAAAACCATAAAACTCCTAGAAGATAATATAGGAGAAAATCCAGTTTACCTTGGGTTTGGGGATGACCTTTTAAATACAACACCAAAAGCATGATCCATGAAAGAAATAATTGATAAGCTAAACTTCATTAAAATTGAAACCTGCTCTTCAAAAGACACCATCAAGACAATAAGACAAGCCACAGACTGGAAGAAAATATTTACAGAAGACATATCTAATAACAGACTGCTACTCAAAATACACAAAGAACAATTAAAACTCAAAAATAAGAAAATGAACAACCCAATTAAAAATGGGCAAAAGATCTGAACAGACACTTCACCAAAGAGGATATACAGATGGCAAAGGAGCATGCAAAAGATGTTCAAAATCATAGGTCACCAAGGAAATGCAAATTAAAACAACAATGAGATACCACTACACACCTACTAAAATGGCCAAAACCCAAAACACTGACAACATCAAATGCTGGCAAGGAAGTAGAACAACAGGAACTCTCCTTCATTGCTGATGGGGAATACAAAATGGTACGGCCACTATGAAAGACAGTTTAACAGTTTCTTACAAAATTAAACATATTCTTACCATACAATACAGCAATTGCACTCTTTGGTATTTACCCAAAGGAGATGAAAACTGATGTCCTCACAAAAACTCCACAATCATGTTTATAGCAGTTTTATTCATAACTACAAAAACTTGGGAGCAACCAAGATGTCCCTCAGGAGAATGGATAAACTGGTATATCCAGTCAATGGAATAGCATTCAGCACTAAAAAGAAATGACCTCAAGCCACGAAAAGACATGGCAGAAATGTGAATGCATATTACTAAGTGGAAGAAACCAATCTGAAAAGGCTACCAACTGTGTGACTGCAACTGTATGACATTCTGCAAAAGTCAAAACTATGGGGATAGGCCAGGCATGGTGGCTCACACCTGTAATCTTAGCACTTTGGGAGGCCCTGGAAGGAGGATCACTTGAGGCCAGGAGTTTGATACCAGCCTGAGCAACATAGCAAGACCATATCTCTCCGAAAAGTTAAAAAATTAGCTGGGCATTGATGATACACACCTGTAGTCCCAGCTACTCGGGAGGCTGAGGTAGGAGGATCACTTAAGCCCAGAAGTTTGAGGTTGCAGTGAGCTATTGTGAAGCCACTGCATTGCAGCCTAAGCAACAGAGTGAGACCCTGCCTCAAAAAAAAAAAAAAAGACAAACAAAAAAACTATGGTGACAATAAAAAGATCAGTTGTTGCCAGGGGTTAGGCCAGAGGGAAGGATGAATAGGTAAAGCAAAGAAGATTGTTAAGGCAGTGAAAGTATTCTGTATGATACTATAATGGTAGATACATGTCATTATCCATCTGTCCAAATCCATAAAATGTACAACACCAAGAGTCAACCCTAATGCAAACTATGTATGGTCTTTGGGTGATAATGATGTATCAATGTGAGTTCATCAGTTATAACCAATGTACCACTCTGGTGAGGAATAGTCATAATGAGGGACGCTATGTATATGTGGGCACAAAGAGTATACAGGAAATCTCTGTACCTTCTGTCAATTTTGCTGTGAACCTAAAACTGCTCTAAAAATAAAGTCTATTTAAGAAAAATAAAATAATTTCAAAATATACATACATACATACCCTCCCACACAAATATATATGTTAACATCACTTCATTCATCCATATAAAATAATGTACAATTTTCTCAAATGAAATTCTTATTAGCCCTGGAAGTAGAAAATGAATAGATGAGCAAGTCAACAAAAAGCATACTTATTGGATAACCTTATTATCAGAAAATAAATAGTACTGGAAAACATCTACATGGTAAGAGAGACAACCAGATATGATGACACTCACAATAATAGAATACACCACCACCTATGAAGTGGTCTTGCTCTTTCTGACTCCCCCAGATACCTGACAAAATCTCTAGATCCAACTACAAATTTATAGGATAAGAGAAAAAAATATGTTAAACCATGCCACAGGGAAAGAATCAGCAAAATCCAGAATGGGGGAAACTTTACAGGATAGCTACAGGCTTATTCAACAAATAAAATGCAAGGAAACAAAGTACTGGGATACCTAAATGTTTAAAAAGACTTACAAAACATACCAACTAATTGTAACATAATAGACTTTATTTGGATCCTGATTCAAACAAACTGTTAAAAACACATACCTACTGGTATAGTTTGGATATCTGTCCCCTCCAAATCTCACACTGAAATTTGATCTGAATTGTTGGAGGTGGGGCCTAATGGGAGGTGTTTGGGTCATGAGGATAGATTCCTCATGAATAGATTAATGCCCTCTGGGAGTAGAGGGTTAGAGTGAGTGAGTTCTCTCTTTATTAGTTCCCATGAGTGCTGGTTATTAAAAAGAAGAAGCAGATGTGGTGGTTCACCCATATAATCCCACCTACTCAGAAGGCTGAGGCAGGAAGATCATTTGAGGCCAGGAGTTTGAGACTAGCCTGGGCAACATAGTGAGAACCCATCTCTAAAAAATGAAGAAAATAATTAGCCAGGCAGAGTGGCATGTGCCTGTAGTCCCAGCTACTCAGAAGGCTGAAGTGGCAGGATCACTTGAGCCAAGGAGTTCTTATAGGCTACAGTGAGCTATGATTATGCCACTGCGTTCCAGCCTAGAAGACAAATTGAGACCCTGTCTCTTAGGAAAAAAAAAGATCCTGGCACTTCCCTTCTTGCTCTCTTGCTTTCTTTCTCACCAGGTGATCTCTGCACATACCACTTACACTTTGCTTCCCACCCTAAGTGAAAGCAGCCCGAGGCTCTTTTCAGAAGCAGAGTAGAGGCCAGTGGCATGCTTCTTGTATGGTCTGCAGAACCATGAGTTAAATAAACCTCATCTCTTTATAAATTACCCAGCCTTAAGTATTCCTTTACAGCAACACAAAACAAAGATACACACAATATTTATGAAATAACTGGAAATTTGAACCCTGACTAGATATCTGATATTACAGGATTATTTGAAAAAAAAATTAAGGTGTGATGCTGGTATTGTGGTTGTGATTGAAAATAAAAATATTTTTTATTTTAGAAATATATGAAAATATTTACAGATGAAATGTTGTGATGACTTGGATTTGCTTCAAAATAATACATCACAAGGGTAAATAGGCCAGGGTACAACATACAAAACTGGCCACAAGCTGATAATTGTTGAAGGTGGGTAATAGGTACATGAAGCTTCATTATATTATTCCATCTATTTTAGTATTTTTTTAAATACTAAATTCCGTAATAAAAAGTTAAGGAAAAAAAATTCTTTTAGTGAATCCCCTTAAAATGGAGATTAAAGTTTCATTACAAAAAGAAAGAGAATTTAATTAGAATATTTTTAATAAAAATATAAACTCTGAGAATAAAAAGTACCTATGAAAAAAATTTCTGATACGCTCTAAAAGCTTATCAACAGTATCGTTACTTATCTTATGCTACACTACTCAGATATTCTTGATTTTCTTTTTATTTGAATAGGTTTTAAGAGTAGCAACTGATTCTTACCCAGCTTTGTTACCCAATAACTTGCATAGTATCTTTCAATAGCATATACTTTAAAAATATTTATTTAATGAATTGATCACTATTTTTACTAAATTCTTGCTCAAGCATCTTCCAAATAATGACTATTACCACCTAATATCAAAAGATAATAACTTGATGATAGTATGTAATTACATAATTATAATAAAAATATAATAAATGACTATATAATAAAAGTGACCAAAAAAATTATAGGATCTTAAAAACTTTTTAAATGGTGATAATTTATATAGCCTTTTATAGCTTTTGAATTTTAAAACATTTTAAGAATTTGAACCTATTTAAAATAATCAAATGAAATTAAAACTTTTAAAACTAGTCTGGAGAAAAAAACTTAGGAAGACTTACCTAGCAGGGGGAATTCCTTTCTTACAAAGATCCACCTTCACTTTCTCTCCCACATGTCTATAAATCTCCACTACAGCCAAGATTGCAGCATCTCTCACCTGTCAAAGAATTCAGAACTTTTTAAGAAACTTACATATGATACAATAAAATACTTCACCTCAAGGTAACATTACACTAGCAGACCAACTTGAAGTTCCAAGTTGGTTTTAATGCCTCTAAACCCCTGGGAGATAAGGCTTGTCATTAGCAAAAAAAACCCCAAGAGGACCTATCAAGAAACCACTAGAGAAAACTAGTAAAAGAAGGTTTTATAGAAATCTAAGAAACTTGTAAATAAAAGTTACTAATTTGGCTTTTTAAAAATGTATTTGTACTAAGATTCTATAAACAACTGTCAATAATTGTAGTAATACAAATTATTATTATGGTTACTATAATTTCCTGAAATAAAATTGCCTTTAGAGAATGCAGCCTGAACTCAAACAAATATTTTTACACCAATATTCACAGTAGCATTATTCACCATAGCTGTAAGGCAGAAACAACCCAAACTTTCATCTACAGCTGAATGGATAAACAAAATGTGTTATATACATATAATATTATTCAGCCTTAAAAAGAAAGGAAGAAAGTTCTGACACATGCTACGACATAGATGAACCTTGAAGACATTATGCTAAATAAAATAAGCCAGACACAAAAAGACAGATAGTCTATGATTCCACTTCTATGAGATATCTATAGTAGTCAAATTCATAGAGACACAAAGTAGAATGGTACTTGCCAGGAGCTGGGGAGAAGGAGAAATGAGGAGTTATTGTTCAATGGGTACAGACTTTCAGTCCGGGAAAATGAAAAAGTTCTGGAGATGAATGGTGGTAATGGTTGCAAAACAACATCAATGTACTTAATGTCACTGCACTGTACACTTAAAAATGGCTGGAATGGTAAATTTTATGTTGTCTATATTTTACCACAAATAAAATAAAAAGAAAAAAAAAAGAATGTGGCCTGAAGACAGGAATTTGGAAGATAGCTCAAGTTCCCTTGCACAGCTCACTATCCAACAGCGACTAAAGAGGCGGCAGAACTCTCTAAAAACCTCTTGACATGCAGCTAGCATCTGAAAGAAAGGAAAACCTTGCCCAGGGTCATTCCAAATGCCCAAGCTATGCCAAAAAGATTATAGCCAAGAATCAAATTCACCAGGAGGCATAAGATCCAGGACACATTCCTGTACTGTGCCTATAAAATAGACAGCTCAGGTGAAAAAGTTTCTAACAAGCGATACACCACTGACAAAAATCCTCCCCGTTAAATAGGGTTATGACCTATTCACCATATTCAGGAATAAAGAAATGAAGCTGACAACCTGTCCCCATAATTAACATATAGGAGAACTACAGAAGGGAATCCAGGTTCTTTGTTACTCAACCTCTTAAACTGAAGAACTAGCCATTAAGTCCTAGCTCTATTTAACATTAGCCAAACAACTAACAATCTTAAGCAACTTACATGAATATATGTTTTTAAAAACTAACTTTGGTGGATTTTTTTAAATGAGGTAAAACCTTCATTTCATCCCCCTTCCCTCTCTCTTCTTTTTTGAAAATGGGATAAGAGCACTAGAAAAGAAACAGTAGCTAAAAAATTAGTCAATGCTTGAATATAAATAAAATTTTACCTGACTGTTGGAATCTCCAAATAGGACACACAAATGTGGTACCAACTTGTTGATGACTAGTGGCTGAGCCCCAAAACTAAATATAATTTGAGAAAAAAATAAAGAGAATTTGTTTTTAATCAAGCAGTAAATGAAATATCCTTATACCTTCTTCTTGTCTGTATGAATATGACAAATATGGTGGAGAAGATAAGCACGCATCATTACAACATGAAAGATATGAAACACAGCAAAAAAATCTAAACAATGTGAAATATGCAAACTGGAATAATCATGACTGACACTGAAAACTGTCAACAAATCATCCAACAGATCAAAATGTTCAACCAACGCACTTTTATATCTAGCAATCTATCAATTATTTAAGAAAATCAGAGCTTTTATTTTTGAAAGAGTGAATTTTTTTAAGACTGTAGGTCTCAAATTTGCATTCCAATGAAGTAAGTAAATTAGTATTTATTAATATTTTGATGAGGTCATAGGTTGAAAGCAAATGACAGGAGAGCCAAAAATCAAAAAAGTTGTGCAGACTGTGAGTACACTTATCAGCTCCAGATGGCAGAAAGAACTACAGAGCAATAAAAGAAAATAAATGAAAGTGTAGTTAAGAAAAGGAAGTAACCCTACAGGAAAAGTTGAAAGCTACTATGTATTATCTATCATATTGCATAAAAACTGAAAAAATAATCCAGAACAAGACTAAAAGCCCCAGTTTACATCTCTTTAGATCGGAGTTACAGCTCCGTGGCATCTACGCAGTCAGAACTCTGTACACTGCTATCAGGTTCACTGGCTAGTTACCTGGCAGAGTTTTGTTCAGGCTACGATTTTGGTACCCACCCATACTGCTCTAGGAAGCCTAGCGCCAACTGGTAAAAGAGGGAGAGTCGGTGATAGGAACTGGCTACAATATGTGAAACACCATTGTGTTAAACACAATTCCAAATTGGATCCAGAATAGAAATAGATCCTAAATTATCAGCATATCAGTTCTGTGACCATCTATTTTGGGTGGCTACTATTAACATACTAAAGAAAAGAAGAAAAATATTTCTTATCACTGACTGATAATTTAAAAATTAACATGAAAGATAATAACATATATAAAAAATTAACAGTAAAGGTATCAAATAAAAACTTTTGTGCTTTAATAACTATTTATAACTTATTTCCATAGCTTTCCTTGACTGTGTGAAATGGATTATTTTAGAGAAATGAAAAACATAAGAGGCTCTTTTCAGGAATCACAGAACTTACGTGTTTAAGGTCTCAATAAGACACAGACATACACCTTCTCGAGATCGAAAGTTCTTGTGCTTAAAACCAGAAGCCAACTGTTCCCAAATGTACTATTTGAAAGAAAACATCACAAAATATTAAATTATTCATTTTACAATCTTTTATCTTACCAACCATATCACCCACCTTATTAGTAACTAAATATTTTCATCAGACTATTCACTTCTTTACTACTTACAAGTTTTTCTAAGCCAAATTTACCACAGTTGCCACCCATTTTTAATATCTTAACCACATTTTAAGTTCTTCTTTACATATTTTTCACTTTAAATTTCAATTATTCTCAGAAGAACCATGTCCAACACCTAAAAACCTTATAATTTCTAAGGACACAGGATTTCTTCTATACTTTAGAAACCTTCAATAATAATGCTACCATTATAAGTCCAGTAGTCCAGTAAGCACTTAAGAGGTCGAACATTGCCTAGCAATTAATATAGACTGTCACATGGAATAGGTTTCTTCCAACATTTTATAATTCAGGCTTTTCTCCATTTAATACTGGATCCAAATACAGAAACATATTTGGCCAAAGTCATTTTATGACTAACTACTATAATTTTCTTTTGGAAAAAGCATAGATAAACCTATACAAACAATCTAAAACAATTATTTGGGTTTAGTGTAACAAGGAATCCAACCATATTTTTCCAAACATATAGGCATTTGTACCAATGAATCCCCTCTCCACATTTGGAAACATCACCTTTACCATTTACTAAATTCATACACATACAGCCACTTCTCTTTCTGTACTCACTATTATTTCTGGAGTCTATATTCAGTTCTACTAATATAGTTCTCTCTCCTTGCCAAACTTTCAGGAAGGTAGCTTAAGAATTTACAAAAAATCTTAAATGTAAATAACCTGACTCAGCAACACCACCCCTGGAACTCTATTCTATATAAATTTTTATGTCCAAAGATACATGTACAAGGATGTCCCTTTTAGTACTGTTTGTAATAATAGAAAGCCAAAACCAAAATTAAAATGTAAACCAATAAACAAGTGTCAAAGGATATCCCCAGCACACTATTAAAAAGATTTAGTTCTGAGGTATAAAATATCTGGACAACAGTTTACTCAATAATTCAATACTCTAGTTTTTTTTATAAAACACATATAACTTAGAGCTGCATTTTAAAGATCACATGATATCATTGTGCATATTGTATATTCTGATTTTTTTCCACTTGAGCTACTCTCTAAATCTTTGTTTACATACCAGTCTATTTTTGTTCTGCTTTCAAAATACCTCCATAAGGGCAAATTATTTCTACTGTATTCAGAAAACACAGGTTGTTGTCATAGACTACATGCCTTATATAATTAGTAACCACCTGTTAAAATAAAAAATTTTCTTCCTATCTTTATGAAGAGTTTCAAAAATTAACAATATAACATTCAGTAGTTCTCAAAATAAGCTTTCTCACTAAACATTTTATAAATTTGCAAATAAGGAAAACCAGAAAATCCCAAAGTATAACATAATCAGTATATTGTGAAACCACTTAAACCTATGAGTTAGCCTTTTAAAGAAAAGCATCAGAGTGGAAAATAAGAAAAAGAAAAAAACAGTCAAATATTGACATGTATCTTAAATTTCGAATTCTTTAAAGCATTAACAACTCATTGTTTAAAATTTCAGCTTTCATGCCCCCTGCAGCTTTCCTGACTTGCTGTGATTACCATCTATCTTTACCAATAATTCATCATTAATTAGCAAAATCTGAATTTTAAAATGTAGACCTACCATAGGTGGTGCTACTTGATCCATTAACTTCAATATCAGAGTCTGCGCTTCATCCCGTACCTTGTCTTTGGCATCTCCCATTCTATCTATTAAAGCTACAATAACTAAAGACAGGGAGGGGGGAAAAGAGTAAATATTTATAACTCAACTCCATTACAAACTACATTTTACAAAATTACACACAGAAATTATTTTCATAAATAAAGAGTTGTGAGGTAAAGAAAGTGTTTTTAAGTTCTTTATTCATGAGTCCGCTCAAAAATAACTGAGAAGCAAATTTTAAAAGAATATATACAGGCTGGGCGTGGTGGCTCACGCCTGTAATCCTAGCACTCTGGGAAGCCGAGGCCGGTGGATCGCTGAAGGTCAGGAGTTCGAGACCAGCCTGAGCAAGAGCGAGACCCCCGTCTCTATTAAAAATAGAAAGAAATTATCTGGACAACTAAAAATATATATACAGAAAAAATTAGCCGGGCATGGTGGCGCATGCCTGTAATCCCAGCTACTCAGGAGGCTGAGGCAGGAGGATCGCTTGAGCCCAGGAGTTTGAGGTTGCTGTGAGCTAGGCTGATGCCACAGCACTCTAGCCCAGGCGAGAGAGAGAGACTCTGTCTCAAAAAATAAAGAATATATACAGTATGATGTCTACCTATAATAATGGTCAGAAAATAGACAACACTAAATATTATTCTATTTAGAGGTATGAATAGATGGGGGGGCGCTAAGGGGAATTAGAATTCAGAGGGAACAGGTTCTAAAGTCGGTTCATAGGGCAAAAATATCACATAGTTGAGATTATAATATCTTTCTGTAATCCCTTAAATTACCACAATCATTTAGTGTGGTTTTACTAGGTGTGTGACCTTGAACACATTATTTAACCACTTTTTGTCTATTTCCTCCCATAAATGTTGGTAGCAGTACTCACCTCAGAGGATTACTGAAAATTCAAAGACGATACATGTAAACAACTTAGAGAGTAACAGGCACAGAGTAAACTCTCTCTATAATGTCATCTACTATTGCTATCATCACTATCATCCTGCGTGTTCAAAAGCAAAAACACTTCTTTTGTTTCTCTGTTGACATCACAGCTATACAGTAGTCCCCATTTATCCGCGATTTTGCTTTCTGTGGTTTCCATTATCCATGGTCAACAGCAGTCCAAAAATATTAAATGGAAAATTCCGGAAATAAACAACTTATAAGTTTTCAATTGTGTGTCATTCTGCATAGCACCGTGAAATCTTATGCCAGCCCGCTCCTTCTGGCTTGGGATATGATTTCATCCCTTTGTCCAGCATATCTACGCTGTTTATACTACCCACCCATTAATCACTTAGTAGCCATTTCAATTACCAGATCAAAAACATAGTATATATAGGGTTTGGTACTAGTCAAGGTTTTAGGCATCCACTGGAAGTCTTGGAAGGTATTCCCTGAAGATAAGGGAAGACGACAAATAGCCTTCCTTTCTCTGAGGCAATGGAGGCCTAGATCTACTTTAAACAAAGCAAGGAGGAAGAAATGAGATCAAAAAAGAAATATTTCTCTGGTTTATTTATAATTAAATGTGTATGTGATTTGGTGCAAATATATGGTCTATAATGTAATAACCAAAACTAATGTAATAATAATCAACAACACATAAGGAAAAAGGAAATTACATTCTTCTTGTTAGAAAATGATAGAGTGAAGAGCCAACTATACCAAATGAAATGACGTCATCCAAAAATCTTAAGCTTAATCAAGGGAATGACTGGGTAAGAAAACAGGGACCTTGCCATAAAAATCATAAGCCTAATCATGAGGCAACAGAAGTACTCATCACTGGGAACAATATAAATTCTTTTCATCTTAATTCAATACATTGTTAACAGTAGAGGAATTTATAAACATCTATAACATTGGTCATTATGGGACTCTGGTTCTGATAGCTTCTGAAAGGCAGAAGACAATAGTAAACACTTAATAAATGTTAGATACTTCTGTGTACCAAGCACTGAATTACCTCATTTAATCCTCACAACAATCCTATGAAACAGAGTAGGCCCATTTGACAGAGAAGGCCCAGAGAGATTAAATAACTTGCCCAAACAAACAGCAAGTAGTGAAACTAGGATTTAAATAATCTAGACAATGTGAGGTCCCAGTCATAACCATCTCCATTTACTTATAATTTGAGGTGTTTGGGTGTATGTGTATATGTTAATTCCAAAAAGAAGATTCAAATACTGGCCCAAATAGGGGCTCACCTCAATATTAAAAACCAATTTTATAAAACATGAACAAAACCAAAAAACCTCACATTACATAAAATTAGTATTATAGCTATTATATTTAAACCATGAATTCATAAACTTTTTTGAGTGGGAATCATTTTTTTTTTTTTTTGAGACAGAGTCTGGCTCTGTTGCCCTGGATAGAGTGCCATGGTGTCAGCCTAGCTCACAGCAACCTCAAACTCCTGGGCTCAAGCGATCCTCTGCCTCAGCCTCCCGAGTAGCCGGGACTACAGGCATGCGCCACCATGTCCAGCTAATTTTTTCTATATATTTTTAGTTGTCCAGCTAATTTCTTTCTATTTTTAGTAGAGACGGGGTCTCACTCTTGTTCAGGCTGGTCTCGAACTCCTGAGCTCAAACGATCAGCCCGCCTCGGCCTCCCAGAGTGCTAGGATTATGGGTGTGAGCCACCGTGCCCGGCCCTGGAATCACTTTTTAATATGCTCTCTTAGAGTGAAATACAACAAAATTTTATTTCTAGCTCTACCAGTTATTCATTATGTAAGAGTAGAAAATTTCTCTGAATTGTAAAGTTTCCTCATCTCTAAAAATGGAGGGATGCCAGGCCTATAGCTCACATAGCTAGTGAGAGGATGAAGTAAAATAACGAAAAAGCACCTGTGCCAAGACCACAATAAGCAATCAGAAGAGTCAGCAATCTTCCCTAAATATCTGTATAAAATATAATGATCACTGAATTATCATTAAATATGATGAACATTCAACAAATATTTATTGGGCATTCAGAACAAAGCTTTTCACTCTGTAGGCACTCAATAAGAATTTTTTAAACAAATGAATCAATCTATCACAGGCTGGAATTTGGACAGTGAAACACGGAAAAAGGTTGAAACATAGCTGTTAGTTATTTTATTCTCTTAGCATTGTACATAAAATTTGTAAAATATGAGATCCTTTACTGAATTCAGTTGTCATAAAACCAGGATTGGTGATCAGTATTAAATGTAAATTGTATTTTTTTGTGTGTGTTTGAAAACTTTATTTTTCCATAATATATGTGATCACAAAAGAAAATTAAAATACTTTATATTTCTATGCAAATATATGTATCATATATTTAAGAATTACATTAATAGAGCCTATATTCCTCTGGAACTGTATCTAAAATTTAAAATGAATCTCAATTTTCCTAAAGCATTTCTTCACTTTTAACATAAAAGGACATAAAAAATACCTGTAATGGTAACTAATAACCTAAGTACACCTAAACTAAACCTTATCACTCAAATCAAGTTAGATATATCTAGAGTTACATTATGAGAAAGACATTTAAGACATACTTAAATCCAATTCCTTCCTTTTACAGAAAGGCTCCTAAAGTAGTTTAGTTAAGGTCTGTGACAGAGCAAAAACAAGAACGCTCACCCTAGGACTCTTAGTCCAGTTCCGTATCTCTTTAAGAAAACACAGATATACTGCCTATCTTGCAAAGCTGTTACACAAATTAGAAATTATGTGAGGATAATCTTTCATGTATGTAAAGTAGTAAATGGGTAAAAATCGGTAAATGGGTAAAAGGAGGCATTCAATAAATGGTAGCAAAGTTGTAATAAATTTTTCTTATTATACCACACTGACTCTCAAGCAATAACAAGCACAAGTTTCATTAAAGACAATGATGAATGCTTATAGTTCAAAGTGCAAACAACATTGACAAAAAGTAAATGTACAGGGATAACCAGAAAGAATAGGAGATTAAAAGAAAAAAACTATACATACAAGAATGTGTGGTCATGTCCCACATAACTGAGCAAACACAAATGAAAAACACTAACTTACAAAAGCAAATTGATGTCATTTATTAAGTACTTAAGTGTCTAAGAACCACAGAGTAAAGAAAAATTCAGTGTAAGGGGGGGTTAATATGAAAAGTTCTCAGATATTCAAATCTGGTGTACATTTTTAGAAAGGAAAGAAAGGTCCGTGAAGGAGAAGAGATTTCAAAAAGAAATAAGAGCACAGCAGAAGCATAAACAAGTTAACCCAGACCTAAAAAGAGTAGGCAAGTTTCTGATTAGTTAGCGTGGAGAGAGAGTACTTGCTGAAGATGACAAAGAAAAACACTACTACGATGGAAAAGGAACAAATATAGTGAGAGAACTGGAACATCAAGGACAGGTAACAGCAGTAAGTTCTGAAAGCAGGACAGTGTTGGGAGTCAAACTAGAATTCTGGTCCCAATATTCCTATTGTTTCAACATCAGTAGTCAGTACAACAAACTCCATCTGGCCCTCCTTGTAGCTGAAAAATAAGTGAGATATATACTACCTAGAAATACTCTCAAGTCTAAAATGTTCTCTGTAACAACTAATGATAGGGAACTACTACAGGGCAGAAGTCACAAACACAAATACCTACAGCCAGGGAGATACGGGAAATGCAGACATTGAGCCAATTTAAAAAGCACAGTATTCTAACCTTACCATATTATATCTAACATTCTCGGTTATGAAGAGACAAGAAGAGGTGAGAGAGATTTATAAATTAGAAAAGCTCATCACCCAGACAAAAGGGAAGCTACCACACAGCTTCAGATCAGGGTTGCCACACTGTTCAATTATCTTGAGACAAGCCAGAAATATGAATTATGTAAAACTTCTCAATTTTAAACACTGATTCAAAATATTTTACGAAAACACATAAGTAAAACATGTATGCAGAGCAGTTTTCAACATTTACTATAGGATTTAAAGCAGGAGATTGACAGTAAAAAAAATTATTCTTTTCAAAAGATATTAACATGAAGGATGAATTAGAACCAGGTACAGATTAAAAGTGAACAATAAAGATGGGAAGACCTACTGAATGCTTCTGCTGAAAGGATAGCTAAAAAACAAAAAAAATAAAAAATGGACAGAATTTGGTGGAATACTAAACATGAAGAAAAAAGTTAACTAAAGATATTAGAAAATAAGTACGATAATACACCAACATTATGAGGCATTAACTTAATCCACAAAAGAAAATCACTAACATCTGAAGTTACCCTTCTATATGCTGCTATATAATACGATCAAATCCACTAATAAAGCACTCCAAAGGCACGTGAAGGTCACTCAAGTTTAGAAAATATGTACTTTGTAATCCTAACTACTATTCAAAGAAGAGCATTATGCTAGCATTTGTACTCACTGCAAACACACTGTAAGTGCTACTGAAAGTATGACTAGCAGCCTAGGAGCAGTCTACAAATTTGCTTGTGGTAAGGAAATTGAAGATATTTATGAAGTATTCTTGAAGCAATCTGACCTAAGTAATTTTGTTTGTTGAATATAATAATAAAAGAGTAGGCCTTGTATTTTTATTTCATCTTGCTGTAATTTATTTTTAGTGTATCTTATAAAATATTGGTCTGCAAGGCTGGCAATGAAAGAACTGATCCTTCCCCCTAAAGTAGTCTAAAAAATGGCACAGTAAGTTACATTGTAAATTTTAGCATTTTACAAAAAAGTAAAAAAAAATCCAATAAAAAATTTGAAAATGTAAAGTAAAAACCTAGCTAGATGTAAAGTAAAAACCTGTCAATTAGCAGTATATTTAGCAAGGGTTTTTTTTTTTTCTTTTGCCTCAAAGTGGTACATTTATTTATTTAAATAGTTTTAAAATCTTTTGTCTGGGTAAAGTAAAATGGTAAGCAGCAGACCTCTGGGTTGTGGAAAATTATATTTTTGAGTTTACAGAGAACTAACTCCATTAAGAAAACTAAGAGAACAAAGAAAAAAGTCACTATGTTAAACCTTATTTAGATTTTTAAATAAATAAAGTTAACTTACCCATTGCTACGTAGGATTTAAATCGTGTTGATAATCTGTCCACAAAGGCACTTAAAATGTCCAATCCCATTAATGATACCTACAGATAAAAAAAAAGTTTTAATGAATAAAAGTTACTGACACATACTTTAATATTGGTATATAATTTTTGACATATAAAGATCTTCATATACTATATTACTATGTTTTTAAAAACTGAGATTGAAGTATTCAGTGGTAAATAGTCACGAGGTTGGGCCATCCTATTCTGAAATGGTTCAACAATAATAATGATAATAATGTATAAACACGCAGGGAGATAGTGATAAAGAATATCTGGCAAAATGTTAACACCTGGTAAATTAGGTGAGGTAACACAGGAGGAGTTCACTGACTATACAGTCACACATCACTTAAAAACAGAGATACCTTCTGAGAAATGTGTCATTAGGCAACTCCGTCACCATGTGAACATCAGAGTGTACTTACACACACCTAGATGGTATATCCTACAGCAGTCCCCAACCTTTTTGGTTTGATGGGAGACAATTTTTCCATGGGGGTTGGGAAGGAGGCAGAGCTCAAGGCGGTGATGCACGGATGGGTTCCTAACAGGCCACAGACGGGTACCAGGCCATGGCCTGGGGGTTGGGGACCACAGGCCTACTACACACCTAGGCCATATGGTATAACCTATTGCTCCTAGGCTACAAACCTATACAGCATGTTATTATACTGAATAGTAGGCAACTATAACACAATGGCTAAGTATTTGTGTATCTAAACATATCTAAATACAGAAAAGGTAATGTGTTGTACTACAACTTTATGATGGCAGGCTACAATGTCACTGGGAATTTTTCATCTCCATCATAATCTTATGGGACCACCATGGTATATATGATCTGTTGTTGACCAAAATGTTATTATTTGGAGAATAACTGTACTTGTGACTTCCCTATAACTTTGAAATGTTTCCTAAAAGAAACAGTTAAAAATTAAGAGCACCTTTAATTGGAATTGCAGCTTCTGTCTAGGATGTAGAAACTGGAAAAAACATTACTCCCACTCTAACAAGAAAAAGCCAAATAATCTATAAAATCATAACTGTTCTTAAATCTGTCAGAAAGCTGAGGTTGGAGGATAACCAACTAGTCTGAAATCTAAGGAAAGACCTGAGACAGAAGCAGTAGGTCACACGTGACAGGACAGGAGGAAAATAAAGCTATGATACAAGTAGGTAAAAAGAATTCATCTATATTTAACACTTTGACTGCCATGTGAGTTGTATTTAACTCAAGCTAGTTTTAAGCCTGGGGCCTTGTGAAGCAAAACGCTTCAGTTGGTTTGTGAAAATCTTACTTGTTGATGTTCTTATTGTTACAATTAATATTGACAATTTAATTCTAGAAATGTGGATTGCACTGCATATAATTCACACACAGAAAACAATAAAAAATAACAAATTAGAAAGGATTATTTTGTTTTAATGAAACATTGTGGCCCCAGGGAAAAAATTTTTTTTCTAATGTGGCAGTCAATGTGTTAACAAAATTATTTATAGCTGAGTGTGTGCTAGCATAAAAATTTAGAATCCCTAGTAGCCACAAACACAAGTAGAGTTCACACCCATCTGCAAGCTCTTTCTCCACAAACCTCCACTGGACGCTCATTAAGACTGAGGACTGGGGAAGAGACTGAAGAAAGTATCGCATCTCTTGGTGGTACAGATCTGAAAGAAGGAGGCAGCTGCCTCTTCAAGAAAGGCATAAAGGCCTCTAGTACCCTTATCCCATAAGAAACAAAAGTTTGATGCTACTGAAAGAAGGACATCAAACACTTACCCTCTCTCCCCCAGGGCACAGGTGAAACTCAGCTGCTGTAGAGGAAAGGAAAGAAAGCCCTCTACCTCAGAAAGGGAGGAGCAGAAAACCATCCTGGGCCCAGATAATAAAAGGTCTGGAGTTGAGGAGGGACATGATCTTCATAAAACCTCACCCTAAGACTCAGGGACAAAAAGCTGCCAAAGACTGAATCTGGACCAGAAACACAGAGAATACTGTCACTGCTCACAGTCAGGTTAGCAAGCATGAAATAAGAAGCAACAGCAGTCTCCTACTGGGGGAGGGGCAAGAACATGGAGAAAATTCTTTATGAAGAATAGGAAAATAGGGAAAATCTAAACTGCAGTGTTGAACAGAAACACTGGGGAAAACCCTCCTGATTCCTCTATCCCTAACCAAGTGATATTGAAGCCAATATGAACTGAAGGCAACTACATCAACCATAATATTCAAACCTATCTCAACTCCTGACTAGACTGATTATATAGCTCCACACTGTAACCTTAGCAGAAAAAGAGGCATGCCATTTCCAGGCATAAATACTACTGAACTTAGTCTCAAACATCTTAACCACTGTCCTGCTTTCAACTAAAAATTATGAGACACACAAAAAAGGGTATCAATGTCAAGAGCAAAGCAAGAAACAGAACAAAATATATAGATAATACAGAGTTTGGAATCATCAGGCAGATCATCTAAAATAACCATGATAAACATATTAAAGGCTCTAGTTAAAAGAACAGACAACATGCATGAATAAATGAGGAATTTCAGCAGAGAAATGAAAACCTTAAGGCAGAGTTAAATGCAAATAATAAAAAAAAAACCATTAAAAAACATGGCACAAGGGTTAAGATGCCTTTGATGCTCTTCAATATATGTGACATTGAGAAGGAAAGAATCAGTGAACTTGAAAGTAGGTCAATAGAAATTTCCCAAATTGAAATACAAAGAGGAAAAAAAAGGCGGGGTGTGCAGATAAAGCATTCAAGAGCCCCAGGACAGTATCAAGTTGTCTAACATGTGTATCATAGGAATTCCAGAAAAAGAAGACAGAACCAAGGCAGAAGAAATACTTGGAGAGAAAATGGCCAAGAATTTGGCAAAAATAATAAAAGGCATCAAAGCACACATCTAAGAGTCTCAGAGAACCCCAAAATGGAAAATTCAAAAAAACATCAAGACATATCGTCTTCAAACTATTAAAACCAAAAGAAAGAAAAATCTTAAATCAATGAAAAGAAAAGACACATTAAATACACAAGTATAGGGAACCTCCTGCCAAAAAGAATGTGAGTCAAGAGACAACAGAGTGACATCTTTACAGTGCAATAATCCCCCTTTATCTGGGGGGGGGAATATGTTTCAAGAGCCCCTGTGAATGCTTGAAACCTCAGATAGTATCAAACCCTATAAATGTTTTTTCCTATACACACCTACGATGAAGTTTAATTTATAAATTAGGCACAGTAAGAGATTAACAACAATAACTAATAAAATATAGTAATTATAACAATATACTTTGTAATAAAAGTTATGTGAATGTGGTCTCTCTCTCTCTCCTAAAATATCTTATTATATTGTACTTACCTATTTTTGGACCATGGTTCACCGTGGGTACCTGAAACCACGGAAAGTGAAACCACAGATAAGGGGGGATTACTGTACTGCAAAAAAATCCTATCAATTCAAAATTCTATACCTAGTTAAGATATCCTTCAAAAGATATCCTAATATTTTTTTCAAGCAAAGAAAATCTGATAGACTTCATTACAACAGACTTGTCTTACAAGAAATGTTAAGGGAAAATCTTTAGGCAAAAACTACATGACAGCAGACAAAAACTTAGATCTACACAGAAAAGCAACTCAGGAAATAGTTGAAATTAAATATTAAAAACTAGGTCTAGGCCGGGCGCGGTGGCTCACGCCTGTAATCCTAGCACTCTGGGAGGCAGAGGCGGGCGGATTGTTTGAGCTCAGGAGTTCAAAACCATCCTGAGCAAGAGCGAGACCCCGTCTCTACTAAAAATAGAAAGAAATTAATTGGACAACTAAAAATATATAGAAAAAACTAGCCGGGCATGGTGGTGCATGCCTGTAGTCCCAGCTACTCGGGAGGCTGAGGCAGGAGGATCGCTTGAGCCCAGGAGTTTGAGGTTGCTGTGAGCTAGGATGACACCACGGCACTCTAGCCCGGGCAAGAGAGTGAGACTCTGTCTCAAAAAAAAAAAAAAAAAGATATGACAACCTGGGAGACGCAAAACTATGGAGATAGGAAAAGGATCAGAGGTTGCCAGGAGTTGGGAGGAGAGAGGAATGAATGGGCAGAGCATAGAACTTTTAGGGCAGTGAAAGAATTCTGTATGATACTATAACAGCAGATGCTTGTCATTATACATTTGTCAAAACTCATAGAATATGCAACGCTAAGAGTGAACCCTAATGTAAACTGTGGACTTTGGGTGACGATGTACAAGTGTAGTTTCATTAATTGTATTAATAACAAGTGTACCGATCTGGTGGGGGATGTTGACAGTGGGGGGGGGGGCTGTGGGTTATATGGAGGCAGGGGAGCATATGAGAAATACATATCTCTTCTACTCAATTTTGCTATGAATCTAAAACTGCTCTAAAAAATAAAATCTACTAAAAAACAAAAATGGGCAAAGGACTTGACTAGGTATTTCTCCAAAGATAAACTAAACGGATATGAGTACATAAAAAGATGCTCAACATCTTTAGTCATTGGGGAAATGCAAATCAAAACCACAATAAGATACTACTTCACGTCTACTAGGAAAATGGAAGACCACAAGTGTTGGTAAGCATGTGGAGAGACTGGAACCCTTGTACATTGCTGGTGGGAATGTAAAATGGTATAGTCCCTGTAGAAAACAGTTTGGTGGTTCTTCCAAAACTAAACATATAAATGTTTATTAAAAATAATGATGGAAAGATAAACAGAAAAAAAATTTTAATGGTTGTGAATAGGATACAAGGAACAGTGAAAAAACTAGATTTCTTCGAATATACCTTCTTTTGGCAATAACTACTTTCATTGAAAATGAAATAAATAAATCAAAATATATATCCAGTTAGTAGCATAACCACACAGAAAACTATTCCAAATGACTTTAAAACACAGTAATTTGACTATACCTCTTCAGTGGGATATACCCTACAAACAAAAACAAAATTCTGCAAAAAAGACACTGTTAACTGTTTCTAAAATCTTATTGTTGATAGAAGTAGAT